TCATTGTTAACTTCATTATTGCCATTATTGTTATCATTATCTTCGTGTTTAACTTCATAAAACTTCTTTTTATAATTTAAATCAATTAAATTATTAGAATCTTTCACCAATATTGATTTATTCACTAGATCAGCTATATCTCTTCTTAATTTGAATTCAAACAGTTCATTCAATTTGGCAGGTAATAAATCTTTATTATTTGAATATAATAATAAAGTCATTGTTAATTCTAGTTCCTCCATAAATTTAACATTTTTAATTGCTTTATTTGTCAATTTATCTTGAGCAAATTTGATAATATTCATAACAAATAGTTCTTGATTATTATCATCATTTTTGGAATCATCATTATTATTTCTAATCATTTCAATCAAATTCAATAATAATAATTTGAAATGAAGAAAATTATTTTGTTCCAATAAATCAGGATAGTTTAAATTCAATTTATTTATAGCTAATTGAACTTCCCCATTCAATATATTTAACTTAATTTCATTTCTAATCTTTATCGAATTTATACCCATTAATAAATTCTTTTGTAACGGATTAACCTCATCTTCGTCATCATCTTGTTTGGTCCCTTTATTGTTTAAATCAATACCAATCTCTTTAGCAAATTTAACAGTTGAACTTTCATAACCTTCAAATATCAAATAGTTCAAAACAAGGTGATTTAACGATTGCTTATCTATCAAATTGGACTCCATTAGGGCATCCCAGTCTAGTTCATTATTATTGTTCCCACTTATATTACTCGTATTGCTCATGATGATGTGATTCTTTAATTGTTTTAATTGATTTCTTAAGGGTTAATTTCTGAGAAGTTTAAAAGCAAAAACTAAATCAATCGAGATTTCATTTAAAATTCGCGAAATAGGTTATTTAACCGTGAATCCTGGCAGATTACCATTGAAAAGTTTTGAAGAAATTTTAATTTCATGATAAGTTATATTTGTATTTATAATCTATAAACTATATTAAATTTATAATTTCTCTTGTTTAATCTCCTCATAAGTTGGGTAATCAGTGTATCCAACTCTGGTAGGAGCATAGAAAGTATCACGATTATAAGCATTTAAAGCTAATCCTTCTTTTAATCTATAAGGTAAATCAGGATTAGCAATGAATAAACGACCATAAGCAATCATGGTATTTGGTTTTCCAACATCTTTTGCTGCAATATCAGGATGTAAAGCATAATCACCAGCTCTGATAACAACACCTTTCCAAATGTTGTAGATGAAATCATTTGAACCATCAACTTCACCAACACCTTCTGGATTGAGAGGACTTGTAACTCGTGGTTCCACTAAGTGAATATATGCCAATCTTTTACCGTCAAATGCTCTTTTCTCCAATTGGGCAATAACATAAGCGTAAACAGCTAAGAATTCTGGATCTTTTGAACCATTCATACTACCAAAAACACCATATGGTGATAATCTAATACCAACTTTATTAGCACCAATAGCATCCACAATAGCATCAACAACTTCCAAGGTGAATCTTGCTCTGTTTTCAATTGATCCGCCATATTCATCAGTTCTTCTATTTGAATTTGAGTCCAAAAATTGATTCAATAAATAACCATTTGCTGAATGGATTTCCACACCATCTGCACCTGCTTTCAAAGAATTTTTAGAAGCTTGAACAAAATCTTTAACATATTCTTTGATTTCTGGAATAGTTAACCCATGTTGAGGATTATTACATTCTTTGGCAGCTTTTTCACTAGCTTCATCCATATATGGCTCATCAGAAGCACTAACATATTTGAAACCATCAGCTGCTAAGGCACTTGGGATTGATTGCCAACCTAATTGCCACAATTGTTGGAAAACAACAGATTTATTCTCATGAATTTTTTTGAAGATTTTACTCCATTGTGAGATTTGTTCTTCGTTGAAAATACCTGGTGCTGTTTCATAACCACCAGCTTTAGCAGAAATGAATGTTGCCTCACTTATCACAAAACTACCTTCTTGATTAGATCTTTGATCATAATAATCAATCATTTGGTCAGTTGGCACGTTCTTGACATTTCTCATACGTGTCAATGGGGCCAATGCAACTCTGTGGTTTAGTTGATGGTTACCCAATTTGATAGGTTTAAATAGATCTGTGTCTTTTAAAGGAATTGGTTTGAAATCTTGAATTAGAGGCATGATAAGGTGAATTGATTTAATGATAAGATTTGACAAGAACTAACTAATTGAAAAAGTAGTCATTTTGAGATATTTATATACAATTCAATTCCTTAATTTCCAATTACAAATCAAACTTCTTTTTTGTTGACGTTTTTTCGTTTGCATTTCAATTTTTTTTTTCTTTTGATTTCTAAGACGTCGGTGTTTAAAAACGAAAAAAAAAACTGTTATGCCGATTTGTAATACGGAAATTCAGCGGACAGTGATGATAAATACACAAATATTGAATTAATTAGTATACAAATCATAATGCAAATAGATATTACCACTATAAAACAGGGAAACTAAAAACAAAGGAAACGCTAGCAAATATGCAATAATAACAAATCAAAATCAAAACCAAAAACAAATCAAAACAAAACAAAATCATCATCAATAAATATAGTCATATCATCACTTCACATCTTCATACCATAATATTTATAAATTCCTCTCTCCAAATCCCCAAACACTTCATCTGCATTGAACAACACACCTTTAGAAACACTTATTTTCTTATTAACGTTCTTCAAGAAATCAGGTTGTTTTAAAATCTTGAAAATTTTACGTCCAGTATCAATATCATATTCAGTTAATCCAATTTTTGATAAATTATCTTGGTTTTTAAAATCATCAACTTTGAAAACCCAACCACGTCTACCTAATGAATCAAAAGTTTTCCAAACTACCCTTTCATTGTAATCATTTCTTGTTATTAATTTCCCTCCAATTTGTTCCAATTCATTAATAATCTTTATTGAGAATTCAAAAGCAACTAATGAAGGACAACAGTTTAAGAAATGTGGATTATCAATACTCCAACGGTTTATAAATCTATTTGCTGTTAGATCCAAAAATTCCAATTGTTGATAACGTTGAGAGGTTATTAGTTTTTCATCATTAGGAGGTTTTAAAAATTCAACAAGTGATTCAATATCAATTGAAGTATTTGCAATGCATAAACTTTTCAAATTTAAAAATTTCTTCTTGATCAACATTAAGTTTTCAAAACTAATTTCTAACCCACCTAAATTTAAATAAACTAAATCACAATCAAACATTTTCAATAAGAAAGTCAATTGATTATTGTTTAAAGGGGATGAGGTTGATGAATCACATTGTAAATTCAACCAAACCAATTTATTACATGTTATTGCTGGATGATTTATGAAAAAATTGATCAATTCTCTTGTTGTTAACTGGATACAATATGATAATGATAAATGAGTTAATTGTGCGGTATAGGGAATTAAATTCAATATTGTGGAAGTTATTTGAGTATGAGTTAGATCTAATTTTCTTAAATTTGGTAAATTTATAATTATTTTCTCTAGGATCCATGGATGTAAATCTGTACAATCATGAAATGAAACATCAGTAATATATTCATTACCAGGTTTCTTAATGATTAATTGATCAAAATTTGAGACAAATACTTCACCAGAACATCCACAAAAGTCAATAGCTTTTAAATTCCCCATTTGATTAAATAAATAATTTAATAAATTTGAATCTAAATCATCTTTAATATTTTCACTTGCTAAAAATTCAATTAAATTTGGAGTTTTTTTCAAACAATTTAATATAGTTGTTGAAGTAACCATTTGAATTTCTTTATTCATTTTACCAGTACGACCTAATCCAATTGATGTAAATTCTTGGAAATCCAACACTTTAACATATTCACCTAATTTATCATTTTTAATTAATGAATTCAAAAAAATATCAAAAGTTTGTGGAGTTTTAAAACAAC